ACACTCCTTGTTGCTTAGCCATTTTTAACAGATTCCAGAAAGCAGGCTTTAATCTTCCAACTTCGCGGGGTTTATGGAAGAACTTCTGTTGTGTGTATGATTCACAAGGAATAATACTTTCTTCCATCAGTTTTGATTGGATTGATGCTCTGACAGAATTAAGCAGAGCATAGGGAGAACTCATGACTGGTAAGAAGCCAAACATCCGTGGCAGAAGAAAACCAGGAGCATCTTCCTTCTCTTTCACAAGTGAAGTAAATGCATTAACAAAAGCAGATGGCACACATTCAAGAATACCCTGGTTCCAATTGCAATCCAAAAGGATTGTTTCCCTTGATGATGCCAGAAGAAAATCTGCCTGAATTATGAAAGGAAAGTTTGTAACCATCTCCGTGGGAAGAAATGCATAGATCCCAGGGGAGGTTGATCCTCTGTGAAGACGGTCGCCAGTGGGAAAAGCCAATGTGATCACATATTCTTCAACTTCAATTCTTCTTTCTACCTTATTTTCCGGTCTGACAGGAAATCTCTGCCTCCACATATGATAGCTGCATTCTCCATCCAAATTACCACCGCTTTCATCAGCAGAGAGATGAAGCAGGTAGGATTCAGCATCAATGTTCTTCCTCGTGACAAAATTTGTCTCACTTGAAATGGAAATTGCAGTCACTGTATTGCTCCTGGGGTCCCCAGTATCTTCCCTAACAGAAAGCCTCTTTATCTTTGACAGAAACAACAAAAGTTCAGGATGAATGCTTGAAAGCTGTTGTTTCACAGGCTTCACCTTGTCAGGCTTCAGAGGTAGTAGTATCGTTGTGGTTGGAAGGTTGGAACTTGAGCCATATATATTTTTTATCTCAGAAAGAATTGGGTTCTCCTCAACCCATTCAGGGACAATGTAGCCAACGTTGCACTTCGAGCAAGGGGATTCGTTAAAACGAATCTGATAGCCATTGCTAAATATATGTGGCTGAGAAGTGATTAGAAATACACTCTTGAATCCAATTCCTGAAAAACAAATGCAGTCATATTTTCAAAACTCATAGAATGGAGAGAAAATATAGTTACGCAATTGATGTAGCTTCAGGCATGTTTTATGAACAACCAAACCAGTCAAAAATCAAATCCATAGATATCATGGCATATTTCACATCAGATCCAGAACAATTAACTGCTGGCCTGTGAGCCGATAAAAAATGGACAGAAAATTTGCTGAAAACAAAATATCTTTCTGAAAAAGGTGTAAAAATGTTATAACAATGATAAAAGCAGAAAGAGGCTTCACAATTTTGGATTTGCTTCTTTCTTGTTTTAGGAGGGGAGAGGGCACGTGGCCTGTGATTCATGTTTTGAAATACCAACGGTAAATACAGAGAGACAACCTCAAGGATATCTCTATCAATGAATGATTCTGTAATTGGAAGCTTAAATCTGATGTATGCTTTTACTAAACACCATTTAGCCAATTGAATAGGTTATGACACATCCCTATAACACTTCAGGATTTGTTACGACATCTTACATTATCTATCGCAAAC